AGTACTTCGCCGCGGCGCCCTCCGTTGAGACGAAGCGATTCCGCCAAGCGATTGGCGTCTTGGTGCGGATCGTCATGGAGCGACGCGGGTGGAAGAAGACCGGCCGCAAGGGTTCGATGGGAGTGCGTGCTACGGCTTCAGCGGATCACTCTTCCTACAACACGGGCGGGCTGGCGTTTTGGTTTGTTCGCGCCGAGCGTTACGAGCTCGGCAGGGGCATGCCGTTCGAGTCGGTCTCACAGCGGTGCAAGCGGTTGGAGTCCTGCGGGCAACTCGAACGAGATTCGTCTCTCGCTTCCTCTCACAAGCGCTAGGTAACCGACGGAAGCCGTTCTCCCATTCGATGTTCGGCTTCGCAACGAAGACTACGCCTGCTTAGTCGTCGTTGCTGGCTTGCAGCCGGCACACGTTCTGATCTCAACGCTTAGCTCAGTTTTTGTTTTCAAGTCCAGCGAGCCGATTGTGTGCGGCCGTGTCACGGGTCGCTGTAGCTTCCGGATTCCGTACGGCCCTGGCGTCTCGCACCGGCAGCTCAGAGCCCTGGTTTCCGCATTGCCAGGCGTGTTGTTGGGCGCCGACCTCAAGGCGGGTGAAACGCCCTGAGCGGCGACAAGCTTTCTTTGGCGGCGTGTCTGTAGCCGCTAGATTGAAAAAGTTGCGTCGCCGGCTGTTGCGAAGTATTCCGTCGCGCCTGCTTGAAGTGGCGTGACAACAAGAACTGTTAGAAGGAAAGACGAAGTGATGGCAATTGATTCAAAACCCCAAACTGTGCCGCGCTACTTTCTCCTGACGGAGGAAGAGGCGCCCGATGGCCCACGCTGCCACGACTATGTCGGTGGGCCCTGTGCGGCGATCTTCGGGTTCACCGATCAAGCGGCCTTCGATGTGTTCCGTACCGGCGTCGACGCGACGCGGCGCCCTTATCCCCTGCTTGGCGTTCGCCTGGCCCGTGCGATGGAACTCCCCGGCCTACAGCTAGTGGTTCTCAACGCCCGCGGCCCTCACGAAACGACTTTTGATGCGGCCACGGCCGAGGCGGTCTTCGCAGCGCAGAAGGCGCCGGCTAGTCCGCTGACGGCGTCGCATCGGCTGTCACTAGGCGCTGATTCAACGGCTTACGACGTCCAGCCGATGGACGCGTGCGGCGAGGACAGGAATGCGAACGACGCTGCTCTCGTATAAATGGTTCAGTGATCACGACCTGACATTACTTTTCGGCTGACGCGAAGGATTCGCCTGCCGTCGTACTAGAGATGCACTCTTGAGGAGAAGGATGAAGATGAGCGAGAAGAAACCCGAGCCGCTGCAGCGGCCTGTCGCCCAGAAGAAGTGCCCCGTGTGCGGTCACTCGTCGTATTCCATCGATGGCATCCACCCCCAATGCCATCGCGCTCAAGCCGACAAAACGCGGCTCGCCAAGCACGCCGCCGAAGTCCGGGCGAACCCGCCCGAGCCGGACGCCAGCGCCAAGAAGACCGGCTTCAATGGCGCCATCCGATTCGGAACATGACGCTCCGCCATCGAGTTGAACGGCTGTTTGGTCCTGAGGACGTGCGGCCATTGAACGAACGCTTCAAAGTGCTGGGGGTCTTCAACCCTGGCGCTGTCGTTGTTGGCGACGAGGTCGTGTTGCTGGTCAGAGTAGCTGAAACGCCATCCGATGAGAGGCCCGGCTTCGTGGGACTGCCTCGCTATGATGCGAGTGGCGACGCGGTCGTCGACTGGACGCCCGTCGCCGAACTTGATTGCACCGACCCCCGTGTGGTGCGGCGGGAAAGCGATGGTAGAGTACGACTCACGTCCATCTCTCATTTGAGAGTGTTGCGGCGGCCCGCTCGGGGCGATCCCGCTTGGAGGGTTGGCCCGGTGTTCCTCCCCGCATCGCCAATCGAGGAGTATGGAGTTGAAGACCCTCGCATCACCGAGATCGACGGTCGCTACTGGATCACTTATGTCGCCGTCTCGCGGCATGGCGCTGCGACCGCATTGGCTTCGACGCTCGACTTCATCACATTCGAACGTCACGGCGTAATCTTTCCGCCAGAGAACAAGGACGTTGTGCTCTTCCCTCGCAAGATCGATGGGAAGTACGTCGCACTCAACCGGCCCACGGCGAAGACCAACTTCTGCCGGCCGGAAATCTGGCTCTCGCGCTCGCCCGACCTGCTGTACTGGGGCGAGCACCAGCCCCTCCTCAGTGGTCTCATCGACTGGGAAGCCGAACGCATCGGCGCCGGACCGCCACCAATCGAGCTGTCGTCAGGGTGGTTAGTGATCTACCACGGTTGCGGCGTTTCGGATCAGTGTGGCGGCGTTGGCGAGTATTGCGCCGGCGCCGTTGTGCTCGACCTTTTCGATCCGACGAAGGTTCTTCGCCGTAGCTCTACGCCCGTGTTGCGCCCGATTGCAGATTTCGAGCGAGAGGGTGTTGTGCCCAACGTGGTCTTCCCAACGGCGCTCATCGAAAGTGAAGCGACGCTGAAGGTCTTCTACGGCGCCGCTGACACCGCCGTGGGGGTCGTGGAGTTCCCGCTCAGCTCATTGCTCGGATCGCTGTGCGAACGGTGATTTCGTTTCACGTCCAGGAGGCGCACAAGTGGCAGAATCGGATGTTCATAAGGTCGCGTTCGTCGGCGATTATCCGCCGCGGAAGTGCGGCATCGCTACCTTCACGCATGACCTGAGCACCGCGGTTGCGAAACACGCATCGAACGAGTGCCTCATTGTCCCTGTGGACGATATCGACGGGGGCTACGACTACCCACCCGAGGTGCGTTTTCAGATCGTTCAGCAGGATCGCGACTCCTACCGCCGCGCCGCTGACTTCCTCAACTTTAGTAGCGTCGATGTCGTCTCGCTCCAACACGAGTTCGGCATCTTCGGCGGGCCCGGCGGCGTTCATATCCTGTCGCTCCTTCGGGAACTGAGGGTGCCGGTCGTCACGACGCTACACACGGTGCTCCCCAACCCCGACAAGACGCTTCGTCGCGTCATGGAACAGTTGGTGCAGCTCTCGACGCGCCTGGTAGTGATGACCGAGCGCAGCCGCGCAACGTTGCGAGAGGTCTACCAAGTCGCGGATGAGAAGATCGACCTGATCGTCCACGGCATCCCCGACCGGCCTTTCGCCGACCCGAACTTCTACAAGGACCAGTTCGACCTCGCTGGCAAGCAGGTAGGGCTCACTTTCGGTCTGCTCTCGCCGAACAAAGGGATCGAAGTCGTCATCAAAGCGATCCCGGAGATCCTCCGCTCGGCGCCCGACTTCGTCTACGTGGTGCTTGGCGCCACGCATCCGAGCCTCCTGCGGAACGACGGCGAGACGTACCGGATCGGGCTGGAACGGATGGCGAAAGAACTCGGGGTGCAGAAACACGTCGTCTTCTACAATCGCTTTGTCGAGCTTGAAGAGCTGACCAACTTCATCGGCGCAGCTGACGTCTACATCACGCCCTA